TATCTTTGGCTTTGTGCAATCCATTCTCCATTTCCTTGAGCTGCACTTACTTTTGAACATTCTAAGTTTATTTTTCTATTATTCTTGTCCGAGAGATTTCATTGTATGAATTATTGCCTGCTAATTAAATAATGGCAATTTCCTTTTTTCATGGATCAGCTTTAATCGTAGAATTATTTACTTCCCTCAGTATATTTCTATTATACTACTATATTCTATGATATTTTACCATTCCCCACAGCAGTCATAGGATAGTTTTGCTCCAATTATATTTTGTTCTCCCCATCTTCTTAGAGGCCAAAGACAGTGCTATGCTCTACTTCATTCCATTCTGTCCCTCTCCTTACTTGGGCTGCAATCCTGTTCTCTGAATGGGCCCATGAGAGAAGGGATTATGTTCAGACAGGGTTCTCAGGAGCAGAAAAGGAAAGCGCTGCGCATCCCTTCCTGCGCAGATTCTGTTACACCTCAGGTAATGGAGCACCTTGCACAAAAATAAAAGAGGCATCAGGACACCAAGGCATCAGGACACCAGTCCTCTGCAGAGGACTGTTAGTAATTTTAATATAAAATGCAATAAAAACTGTTATGTCTACAGTATCAGTTTGTAATAACTGTTTATATTTTGTTATGAGCACTTGTTACATGCCAGAATAGAGTACACCTACCGTATGAGCCTGGCGTTTTCTCTTCATAAGTAAAATGAAGTTGTAGTTCCTCTTCTGACATTCGACTGATGAATACTTTCAGCAAACAGCAGATAATAAACAACGCGTTGTGAGCCTGCCAAATAAAGAGGTGACTAGAAAGGAAGCAAAAGCAAACAAGAGTCAGTAACAGTTTGTGAAAATAACATTAAAAAAAAAAAAAAAAAAAAAGAAGATATATGCCTGAATGTCTATTCTTATATACCTATAATATCTATAAATCTTATAGGGGATTCTTATAGTTGAAGCAAGCAAAGAAAAACCAAAGTGCTCTGAAGTATCAACAGAAAACACACTGCTACAGCAAATAAATTAGAAGTATATTTAAATACAGTTTTTCTTTTCCAAGCTGATATAGTTTTAATTTTAAATTGGTATTGCTAAAGATGTCAGAAGTGCTACTCTCTTCAAAGAGCTTACTAGATGGCTTGCGTATCCATCTAGAGGTTTCTATACCCTGCAATCTCAAGTCCACCTAAACAAATGAAAATTTCCAATAACTTCAATATGAAAACTATTCTGACTCCACAAACCTTAACACTTTTCCTGATTTAATATTTCTCAGATGACTCTACACATCTATGGATTTCAGGAGCACAACAAAGCAAAAGCGTCTTTTCCCTTTAAGATTTTTCCCAGCTTTCTGAATGCAAAGAGAATATAGTTTCACAATATTTTCTTGAATTATGTCTATCATTTAGGTATAAGAACATCAAACATCCCTGACTGGTCAGCGTTCCTCTTAGAGGTTATTTATGCTCCAAGGGGTTTTAAGCACTGCTACTAACCCAGTAACGCGGAATTTGTGCTGCATGTTTACTACATGTGGGGTCCAGAGAAAATTAAGACAGCAACACCTAAGGACTGCACAACAGGGAAGGCAAAAATAAGCACACAGTTACAAATTTGGACCCAAACAAATGTGGTTTATGTAATACACGTGAGAAAGCAAATGTGTCTTTATTTTCCAACTGTAAATTATGTATATACTACACTTCATTGTATGTGCTTGAAAATGTACTGAATATATCTTTGTTGGAACAGAACAAAGAAGAGAAATCTAAATTTGGGTCTGTAAATATGTTAGCCAGCAGAGAAAAAACCTCAAGAGCAAGAAACAAAAGAACATTTAAGAAGTGAAAGAGCAAACACAGCTTTTCCCCATCTACTTACTTCTGACATTCTGCTGAAATTTTTAATTCTTTGGTTCTAGAAAGAAAGACTTTAATCAATGACCCAAGGTTTCCAGTTCGAGGATTCTTCTCAACTAGATGAGTGATTGAAAATAAACAAATAAATATATAAAATATATAGATAATATATAGCATTTGTAATTTAATACTATTTAGTTCAAACAAGACAGAAAGAAAACAACTTTCAAAGCTTTAAATACTTCTACATAAAGTATATTACAACTGGTTTTCTTCCAAGATTCTCCAGTGCGTGCTTTACTGCTCTGTGATTGTTCACCAAACATACTTTTCAGCCGAGATTTAAATATCCCACGTGTAGCACACAAACTGCTTCCTTTTCGTGACTTCTTCACAGCACAATTATTTTCTATCAGGAACACAGGACTGATTTTCACTGCTAACTTTTACCTTCTTGTAACATCACTGATCATATTTATGACCCCCAGTTACTTCTGTCCCCTCCCTGTCAGGCTTGTAGGGCAAAAGAGAAAGGAGGAGGGGGGAGGCAGTTGTTCTAATCCTTTCAGTCATTTCAATTTATATAAGAAATGTTAACTTCCAGCATTAACTAAAGTTTGGAATGTATAGACAAACACGTGTCCTGTTTTAATCTCACTAGTGGAATGCACAGTATCCTAAAGATATGGATGCATACATGAATGTTGTTCCTTAATTTTTCTGATAAACCACAGAGAAAAAAGAGTTAAGACATCACATTTCTCACCTAAAGACTTGCAGACTGAGATGGTGGCTTCTTCCAGCAGCTTTAAGTCAGCACTAGAGGGAAGGGAGGAAAAGAAAAATATCACCACAGTTACATAAGCAAATTGAGTTCCTGAAACTGAAGCAAGAATTCCTAACAAAACAGCAGGGAAAAAAAAAAAATCTATGAAGCACTTTATTTCAGTAATCCATTAGCTGGTTTAAAACAAATACCTAGCAGCACAAGATGTATTTGAAATACAGTGGCTGTAAAACAGGAAACTAATATTCAAAAGTGAAATGTCTGTCAAAATGAAGAGAAGTCAGCAGAGCATCCATGCTAGCACCATGTTTGGTCTGAACCCTGACAATAAGCATAGAGCCACAGCCTTTAGAAAGTGCTGGGTTTTATACTAGAGCTATCATGTGAAGTAATGCCTTTTCTAAAACCATAAATTAATAAATCCTCAACCTGACTTTTTTATAAATAATAATCAGGTATTTATGCCAATACCACAATAAACAATTTGAAGCTGTCCCAACAATAATACCTAGAGATCTAATTTCTTATTAATGCATATTAAAAGTAATACTAGAATGCAAGTTTCTTCTCTTCCTCAAAGAATTATGGAGAAAGAGCTACCAAAAGTGGGATCTCTGAACATCAGACAGACATGGGTAAAGGGCAAGCTGAACCCACAGGGGAATGCATCAGTCAGTGCAGGATGAGCCCTGCCTGTTTTGTCCCAACTTTCTCCTGCCTTTTTTCCCCCCCTCCACTAAGGGCTGCTGCTTTAAGTTACTTGGGGAATCTTTTCATGTCCACCCCAAGGACAAGGGCTGTGTCATACTCACTTCACAGCCACAGTACCTCCCCACTCTTCCATCCATCCCCACTTAGTTATTTTTCGCAGAGCTTCTCTGGGCTTTTTCCTTTCCCATATTCCGACCACCTGCGGGCTCTGTCGTGTCACTAAAGCACAGGCCTGCAAGAGAGGGCAGAGCGAACAACTGAGTAGATCCATACACCTCCTACAAATGTCCCTTGTTAGACCTCGGCAGCATTAAAAACTTTGCTCCTGCTCCTTCCCTACTGTGCTTGGAAGATGCTGGATAGAGAGCACTGCAGAACTGTCAAGGGGCTGCATTTATAGTTTACTGGAGTTCACTTAATGGCTGCAAAGTAGATAGAGGACAAACTGCATTTAGCAGTCGTGGGATTTCCCTGTGGCTAGAGGGAATCCCATCCTCATCTCCCCTGACGAAAAAGGTCGGAGAACCTGCCAGGAACTACTTTAGCTGAGCACGTTTTGCCCTATATGCTCTCACACCTTCTCTGTTTGGGCACCCGTGCAGTGATTATTGATAATTCTGCACATTCTCAAGGCAAGAGGGTATTAAAAGAATAGATCAACTCCCTATTAAAAATTCAGGAGATGAGGGCAAAAGGGCTTCTCTGATAGGCAAAATATGAAATAGCTAAAAGCCCTGGCTGACTCTCACCCTAGATAAGGTCTGTGGCCCATCTAAGGCCAATACAAAATTTCCAACAGTTGCCAAAACAAGACACTCCTTGGCAAAGAATCCGCACCTGGAAATGACTTTACAGTAAGGATGACTGGGACAGGAGAGAAGGTTTTACAGTCCCTGTACAGACCCAGTTAACACAGCCTGATCTACACTAATGACAGTTGCTTTGAGCAATCCTTCAGAAGCTCCCAAATTAAAAATTCACTTTAAAAAAGTTTAATGCTTTAAGATGCAATGCAGGGTAACACAGGTCAAACAATTTCTGAGCTCTGGAGATATCCTTGTGATAAAAGGTAGGAAAGTCACCATTCTCTGAAAAAAAATAGGAAGCAGCAACATAGCGAAACACAAATAGTAACTGAGACTTTGAGGCAAGTGCCACGATCCAAGCACTCTTTGCATACAAAAACACTGCAAAATTTAACATTGCTATTTAATATTGCCAAAGCTGCCGCTGCTGCTGCTTCCTAAGCATTTAAGTTTTTCAACAAGTAACCTTGTTAATGTGAAAACAGAGAGTGAGGACAAAAAAAGGTGTGATCCCACATACACTTCTTTCTGTGGCACACTTACATTTAAGATATTTCTTCCCCACTTGCTCAATCCTATTTTAAAATTTCACAGCTGTAGTTGCTAAAAGACAGTGGGGGGGGGGGGGGATCCTCTTCCTGTTTTTAAATTTAGATTATGATCCAGTTTACAGCACATTTCCATAACTAACTGCAGCCATTTCAAAGAGGGACTAACTGTGGCTCTATGTGGGAATCCCCTAAATCAGCTCCAGTGCTGAAAACTCCTGGGAAATTGTGCTCTTAGAAACCAAATGTCTGGGATGATGCCTTACAAGAGCTCATCTGAGATGGTCTCTTAATCCAGAGTCCTAGAAGAGGAAAGAAGGGTATTGGCAGGAACAGCAACCACAGGAATTATTCCAAAGCTTTTCAATAGTAGGTGCTTTAAGGTAGAAATGAACAGATTAAATTAAGATGCCTGTAAATTATCCTGCAACTCATAAGGATTTACTGTGTAGCAAACTAAGGGCATATCACATGAGAGCACTTCACCTGCAGCCTAAAATGCAACAATTTTAGATTACGCAGATAATCCCTTTTCATATCAAGCATCAGCATTCAAGATCAGCATTCCAAAAGTTAAGGTGCGGTTGGAAGGCAATCTGGCAAGGGACGTTAAAAATAACAAAAAAAACTTCTTCAAATATATGAACAGTAAAAGGAAGATCAGGGAAAACGTGGGTCTGCTGGTGAGCGGGATGGGCACCCTGGTTACAAATAACACAGAAAAAGCAGAGTTGCTGAATGCCTTCTTTGCTTCGGTGTTTACCAAGGGCAGCCCTTTAGAGCCCCAGGCCCTAGGGACAAGAGAAGAAGCCTGGAGAGAGGAAGACTCGCCCTGGGTAGAGGAAGATTGGGTCAGAGAGCACCTAAGGAAACTCGATACCCACAAATCCATGGGCCCTGATGGGATGCACCCCAGAGTGCTGCGTGAGCTGG